CACAACCATGCACCCAAGAATGAAAAGAACAGTCAAAGTGCCCATGTGGACTAACCCTAACTCTTAGTAATCTGCTCTTCCCTAGAATTTCCGTGTACTTTGTATTCTCAGTGATATCATGCTTCTAATACACAGTACACCTAGGCTGCAATCCTATATTGAAAGTCTCACTGAGCTCAGAGTAACTTAGTTCTGTGTAAGATTGCACTGTAAGTGTCAATCAGTGACCATTTTTAATGGCAGGCACCAAATCCCTTAGGAAACAGAGAGGATGCCAGTGGCAACTTTAGCTGCCCTTACAAATAAAACAAGAGCACAATCAAATCTAAAGTGACATCACAAGAACCATGCAGATAATTTCCCTTTCAGACGTTTCAGTAAAGGGCTGCAATAAAGACAATAATTATCTAAGAGTAGGAAATGGAGCAGACATAACCCATCTTTCATTCCAGTCTGAAGGCTGCAATTTCGTGGTTGTATTCCGTTCCTAATGCCATGCATTGACTATTAGCAGATTTCCTTTGCAGACTGGATAGAAGTGGATGTGTTTCAAAGAGGCTTCAGGAATGTCCCATATTCCTGGTAGCAATTTTTAGAAGCCTGCTCTTTTGAGTGACTGGCCTTTGAATGTCTTTAAAACAAGACCTGTCAAACAATCTGTGCTAGATCAGTTAAGTGAGTTATAGGGCTGAATGGAATGGTTGGAGACAGACTGCTTGGCCAGAGCCCTTGATCCAGTGCAAGGAATTCAATATCCTGCTCAATATTTGGTAGAGGCATCTTCAAATATGAGTGCTTTTTACACATGACGACATCTTCTCAAGTGGACCAGATATAAAGCGGTTACACAAAGAATCCTGGAGTGTGATCCTGCACTGAACAGATCACTTCGATTGCCCAAGTACAACATACTTCTCCTGGCTTGGCACAGCAGATATCATTCACAGTTTTCACCAGCATTCCATATACAGTGGTACCTCAGGTTACATACGCTTCAGGTTACATACGCTTCAGGTTACAGACTCCGCTAACCCAGAAATAGTACCTCGGGTTAAGAACTTTGCTTCAGGATGAGAACAGAAATTGTGCTCCGGAGGCGCGGCAGCAGCGGGAGGCCCCATTAGCTAAAGTGGTGCTTCAGATTAAGAACAGTTTCAGGTTAAGTACGGACCTCCGGAACGAATTAAGTACTTAACCCGAGGTACCATTGTAGATCTGAACAACAGCTGCAACACCTTGCAATTTCATGCTTACATTGAATCCCAAAGGAAAGTCTCCAGAGACCTGACAAGTACCCGTGGAATTTTATGGCTTTTTGAGCGCAGTCCTATGCATGAAGTAGGAATGGGAAATAAATTTGATTTGGTTCACATTTAAAGGTGAACCTACCTAATTTGCATGTTCTGAAACAAGAAGCGAATTAACATACAACTATCCTTCAAAATTCACACTTCTCCAACTTTTGCAACTCAGATCTCCAGCCAACAGAAGCTGCCAAGGTGCTATGTTATAGTCTCCCAGTCCCGCCCTCTGAAACAAATCCTGCAGGTAGAAGTGGTATAAACCACTGAGCCTCTTGGACTTGCCAAGTGAAGGTCAGTGGTTCAAATCCGCACAACGGTGTGTCCCAGCTTCTACTAACCTAGCAGTTCGAAAGCATACCAATGAAAGTAGATAAATAGGTACTGCTGCAGCAGGGAAGTAAACAATGTTTCAGTGCACTCGGGCATGCATCACCGTGTGCCAGTAGCTTTAATTTGCTGAAATCAGCTCCACCTCTGTCACTGAGCTGCTGTGATGTCTTGGAACGTTCATAAACATTCTAATGCTTAGTGTCGTCAATAAGCTATCAACACAAAGGGCCTAGGAATAAAAGGTATGAAGTTCTATGGACGGGAAGGTAGGAATGACTGGGTGTGTTGAATTTCAAAGGTGAGCTATCATTTCTTAGGAGTGTTTTATGCATCACTTTCTGGTGACTGCATTGTTATAGGAAAGCATGCTTCTTAGTGCTGTGAAAGATGAGAAAAGCTGAGTTTAGAATACAACTCTCAGTGAATTTTCACAGCTTTCTACTTATTATTCTCTTTACCAAGGTACAGTAAAGGTTGCAATATTAAACAGTGGGTACATGGTAGTGGCAGAGAAATACAACATCCCATCCCTTTGACTACACAGAGTAGTCAAAGGGGCTTTTATGGGACTTGTTAGCATCCATGACACAATTTATTTAACCCGCCCTTTATTTGTATTATTTTTTCCATAGTGAGTTGCACAAAATCAAATTAGAAGAAGCAGTGTCCTTAACTAATCATTGATTCCTATGGTGCCCTCATTGGCTATCTAACACCCACACAGAAGACACTGGCAGCTCTTTGATACATAATTGATATGGCTATTGAAGATCATACGCAATATAAGGGATATTTTTTTTCAAAGTTTTAGGCTTATATGAAGCCAAGGTTCTCTTCTGTATTGAATTTCCTCCTAAGCTGTGATCCATTCAAGCTGCCCTTTTCATACAGCTGAAAGCAGATTTGATTAATATGATTTGTCTGTGTGTGTATGTGAAAATATGAGACGATTAAGGAGTGGTGATGTGGGGAGCCCATGCCCTTTCTCAACATGACATTCTCTAGCATTATACAGAAGACTGTAGAGTCCTCCAATCTTTATAGTATTCCTACTTTCTGCATCTGAAGTGGGGGTGGGATCTATTATCGGGGGGGGGGGTTCATATTTTTTTTTTTCTTATTACTGTTCCACTATCGTGTCCAGGTCAACAAATCCACAGCTGCCTATTGATTTCACTCAGTAACGAGACAGGAAAGGCCAGGTTTCAAGGAATGGTTTGCAGATTGGCTTTTCTTTGTGTGAGAAGCTTTCTTGTGAGGACCCCTTAGAAAAAAAAATTAAGATTGCACAGATGTCCTCTGTGCTCAGTGAAGCAAAATACCAAGTCAATAAATTTACAGCCTGACACTTCTGGTAACCAGCTTCTGTCTCCATATACTGCCAGTCATGGAAACAATCTTCAGGGAAAAAAACTGGTGGTATGGTGGGAAATAGTTCAGTATTAGTTCAATAGTGTTTTCATCTAGTTCACTGACCTTTTATGCGGCTTGTAATTAGAATGAACGTGTGGATATGGAGGCCCACATCACAGGAAATAGGGCTGCAGCCAGATTTCAAATTATTTATCCTCCAAACTGTGGTTTAGAGGGCTAGAGAAAAGCCCCATTCTTATGTGCATCCTCCTTTCATATGCTCTAGGTAATAGAAAAATTTCTCATTTGTGCAAACCATTGAATCCTAATTGAAAATATGGAGTTTGTGTGAACTGTTCAAAATTAGGCTGTAAACCTGTGTTTATACCGATGCATGCACACAGAGAGACAAGAAGTAATTTTCTTAATAAACTTTTGTGTATGTCCACATTTGATACCATCTAGTAAAAATATCCTTCTAAAGATGTAAATAGAGCGCTGCAGGATCAGGTCAAAGACCCATCTAGTTCAACATCCTTTTTTCATAATGGCCAACTAGATGCCTACAGCATTCTTCCCACTTGTGATTCCCTAACTACTGGCATTAAGAGGCATATTGCTTCTGACAACAGAGGTGGAACTTAGCCATCATGGTGGGTAGCCACTGATAGTCTTGTTCTCCCTGAATTTGCCTCATCCTCTTTTGGGCCATTACTACACATGTAGTGGGGGAAAACTCCATAGCTTAATTATATGCAGTGTGAAGAAGTACTTTATTTTGTCTGCTCTAAATAGAAGTGCAATGATCGATTACTTACTTACTTACCTACTTAAAATATTATTGTCCTATCCAGGCAGGGAGACCCATTTCTCTTTTAACTACTAGTGATTCTAGCATATTGTAGGAAGCTGCCATACAGATATACACTAAGGGACATTTGCAATACTACTGCAATAAAAACATTGTTTAGAATCTTTTAAATGTGTTGTTGGGTGAAGCAGGGGTTAATTGTTGGTTTTCGTTCTTGTTTTTATTATGTATTTTGTATTTTTTATCTTGTATTTGTGAACTGCCCTGAGATCTATGGAGTATACAAAATAAATAAGTAAACAAACAAACAAATATTCTAATTGTCATATCAATAAATTTTAACCTACATAAGTTAACACGGCACTGTTTGTAGCTCAAGCTGGCATTTGCATGCCATGTTCAGAGAATGAGAAATCTGTGAATGTGGCTTATTAAGCAATGTGTAGCTGTAGAATTAAGGGACGCAGGTGGCGCTGTGGGTAAAAGCCTCAGCGCCTAGGGCTTGCCGATTGAAAGGTCGGCGGTTCGAATCCCTGCGGCGGGGTGCGCTCCCGTTGTTCGGTCCCAGCGCCTGCCAACCTAGCAGTTCGAAAGCACTCCCGGGTGCAAGTAGATAAATAGGGACCGCTTTCTAGCGGGAAGGTGAACGGCGTTTCCGTGTGCGGCTCTGGCTCGCCAGAGCAGCGATGTCACACTGGCCACGTGACCCGGAAGTGTCTCCGGACAGCGCTGGCCCCCGGCCTCTTGAGTGAGTTGGGCGCACAACCCTAGAGTCTGTCAAGACTGGCCCATACGGGCAGGGGTACCTTTACCTTTAGCTGTAGAATGGGACGCGGGTGGCGCTGTGGGTTAAACCACAGAGCCTAGGACTTGCCAATCAGAAGGTCGGCAGTTCGAATCCCCACGACGGGGTGAGCTCCCGTTGCTCGGTCCCTGCTCCTGCCAACCTAGCAGTTCGAAAGCACATCAAAGTGCAAGTAGGTACCGCTCCGGCGGAAAGGTAAACGGTGTTTCCATGCATTGCTCTGGTTCACCAGAAGTGGCTTAGTCATGCTGGCCACATGACCCAGAAGCTGTACGCCGGCTCCCTCGGCCAATAAAGCAAGATGAGCGCCGCAACCCCAGAGTCGGTCACGACTGGACCTAATGGTCAAGGGTCCCCTTACCTTTACCTTTAGCCTTAGAATGCAGTTCAATAAAAATCCACTCAACAGAATTAACAATGAGCTCAAAGCAATGTATTTATGACAGACACTGGGCACATTCAGACAAAACACTGGCTGTTAACAATGGCTATTGCACAACCTCTGTGCTAGTACACACAACCCAAGCACTTCTGATTTGTTCTTCCCTTCCTCCCAGCCAGGAAACAAACCATGGGGTGGCTGGCTTGCTTGTGTTACATCTGAACCAGAGCAAATGATTTATTTTTCTGCTGGGAAAAAGGGAGGAGCAATACTTTGATTCCTAAACATGAGTGCCGCTTCAGTTGTAATACAGTGATACCTTGGTCTACAACCATAATCTGTTCCGGAGATCCAGTTGTAAGCCAAAACAGGTTGTAACCCAAAGTGTGCTTTCACCAATGGGACCTCCCCAAAAATATGGGTTGTAATCCCCCCCCAAAATGGGTTGTAATCCAAAAAAAGGGACACACAGTTCAGGGTTTGACATGGTTGTAATCCAAAACAGTTGCAAACCAAGGTGCCACGGTACTAAGTTAGTCACTAGCTTCGCCACTAAGTAGGAAGGAAGGAGCGAAGGAGGAATGTGCAGATTGTGCACCCTGATTATAGTGATTAGGTCCAAATGCAGCTAAATTTACAGTCCTTATTTTGACTACAGGAGATAAGGACTAATATTTGTAACCATGTTAACTACCATCACAGACTTTCAAAGATTATGTATATTAAGAAATATATTTTAAAATCAGCTATTATTCGTATGGAACTACTGTATTGGTATTAATTTCAGCATGAGAGATTCTATATTTTGTTATATATCCTCTTCACTTTCGATGGAAGAAAAGTCATGATATGATGCCACCTTCTGGATGAAATGAGAAGAAAAGCTGTTTTTCCCCGCTGCATCTTCATCGGATTTTAAACCTGGAATCTAGATTTAGCCAGATAGATATTTGAAATTTTGCCTCTTGTCATTTAAAATAGTATTTTCATAGATTTGTTAACGTGCACATGCACACAAAAAGCGTAATTATGATAATACTAGGTTTTTTAATAGACTGCATTATTGCTAGCTATGATCTTTTAATTAAATGATATAGCAAAATACATTCTTCATAAACCTTTTTTTCCTGTTTCAAAGCCTTAACAATAATTCCTATAAATTCCAGAGTGATTACTGAGTATGAGTTCCACATTTCTACTTAGACAACATAAAATATAACTTTCTTTTGAATTCTCTCTCAAAATGTGCTAGAGTAGAAGGGCATGTGGGGGGGGGGTTGGGGGGGATACATGTGTATTTAATGCAGCGAGCACCAACATACCACATATGTACTGTGTGACTACCATGTGGAGCCCCTTTCAATGCAAATTGAGAAGACCTGCCCCTTATATCATCTGCACTGCAAGAAGATTAGGAGAATGTTCAATTTCCATGCAAGAACATAGACCCAGAAGAACTGGCCATTTGTAGCTTTAAGGAACAGGTCCCATTCTTCCTTGCTATTAACTAACTTCTAAACACTCAGATTTCCCAACTGATAAGGTTTGCTGGACAGAAACACTAGATTCAAGATCAGAGATTGCTTTACTTTGCCCTGCAAAAACTATCAAGCAAACAACAATGAATCAGAATGATAGATTAAAAAAATAAATCACACTACATGTGTGGATTGGATTACAAATGGCTGGGTGTCTATGTGATCAACAACTCCCCCCGTCCTCAGAGGCCACTGTTAATAACATAATGTAATTCTCATTGTCTATACATTCTGTATTTCTTTTCCTTCTGACCTCATTGTTTACAATCCCTCCCCCAAATATGTATCTGCAACTCAGGACAACACTTCCTGCATCTGATGACATGGACTGCAGCTCACAAAAGCATACGGCATAATAAATTTGTTAGTCTTAAAAGTAGTTAGTCTTGAGTGGTTATTCAACCTGAAGTGATGTCCATATTTCTGACTCTGTCTATGATTTGACCAAACTCAGCTTTTTATCTGGTAACCCACCATTGATTTTTACTGTTATATGTTATTCTGTATAAAAATTCTATTATAAACACTAAAAACCCACAAAGTGGCTTTGTTGCTTTTGTTGCAATAATCTTAACACAGCTTCCCCTCTGGAAACTATTCCTGCTGGGGATTCCTTTGATTTGGCATTTGTTTTTTGAGATGGCATAATCGCATGCTGTAGATTCTGTAAAGTTTGTAAAAAGTGCTTTTGCGAAAGTATCATAAAGTTACACGGGGTTTGCTACGCTCGTTCACTGCCACAGAATCATAGTTCAGCTCAGCTGAAGAAAACACGGCCATTTAGTTTTCCAGATAGGCTGTGAATGGTTTCAATTACCTGATGTTGCGGTTCAATCCATCAGTATAACACTAAACACATCAAGGCTAGTCATGCCAGTAAAACAGTGGAATGTTTATGGGGAATTCAAGATTATGCTGCTATATTCTCTCCATGTAGCTGGCCATAGCCCTGTGTAAAATTGGGGGGGGGGTGTAATACAAGTGTTTGGCCTCAGGAATCTACAAAAACTTAAATAAAAGATGGAGGAAAGTCTAAGATTATGATAATATTTTTAAATTGTGTACAGAGTAGTTTATTATATAGTTCCAGTCATATCAACATTATGTAAGGGAATACTCTGCTGGTTTTGCTTTTACCTTTATTCCAAGCCTGCCAGACTGAATTATCATCACAAGGAATGTTGTAGACCTTCCATGTTTCTTCGTGTTCTTTTATGGGCCTGTAGCAGTCTGAAGAAAAGAACATGCATTGTGTTATATTAAGCTCTTACGTTATGAGGACTAATTTTTAAACTGATGACCCCTTCTCACGATATGGCCACCACACAGATATTGCTTGAAACTCCATTACAACTGAATTTTTATTTCCTTTCATTTTGCATGACTAATAGCTTGGCAGCTGCGAGTGCAAGACATATGTTCCTAGTGTGAGGGATTGTTTAGCTTGTTACGCCTGCAACTGTTCCCTGAATTTGTTTCCAGAAGTCAATAATGAAAGGAAACTCAGCCAGATGTGTAAATATATGCCACTAGTGTTACAGCTCCTCTGCATTTACCCTGGCCAACTCCACTTGCCTTTTGAACACAGAACAGCATTTCATGGTTTACTTTCATGCAAATATCTGAAGGAATTGGAAATCAAATACAGTACAGTGGTACCTCGGGTTAAGAACTTAATTCATTCTGGAGGTCCATTCTTAACCTGAAACTGCTCTTAACCTGAGGTACCACTTTAGCTAATGGGGTCTCCCACTGTCGCCGTGCCGCCGGCGTGCAACTTCTGTTCTCATCCTGAGGTAAAGTTCTTAACCCGAGGTACTATTTCTGGGTTAGCGGAGTCTGTAACCTGAAGTGTCTGTAACCTGAAGCGTCTGTAATCCGAGGTACCACTGTACCTCAAATGAGGGAACAGCCATATGAATCCACCAGTCTGTCCTCAATAAAGCTAGGGATTATTCTACGGTACTTGCAGAGCTTTTAAACTTCAGATGGCCTGTAGTTTATACTTCCTCTTTGCTTCCCCTGTGTTAAACTTATTGAAGTATTATTTATTTAAAGCATTTGTAACCCAGGCTTCAGCTAAAAAGGCTCCCAGAACAGCCTGCCCACAACCTAAAAAACACGACACAATGGAAAAGGGACAGAGAGGAAAGGGGGGGGGGTGGAATCAAACTCAGGTTCCAATTGTTAAACAGTTGTTCTTATAATGACCAGCTTGTGTGATTCAGGAGTAAGAGGTGCCTGATAGAGCTGGGGTTTTAGCAAAAATAAGATAGGATGAACCCTGCTTTCTATTTCTCCCACTGATGCAGTGTGACAAAATGGCTGCTCCCAGGTGACATTTGTAAGGAGAGGAGGCCTGGTGGAGCTTCTTCTGGATAGAATAAGCTGTGCTTTCCATCTCTCCCACTGGAGGAACGGAATCCATCAATAAATACATTTAATTATTTTTTTTAGTAACATTGTAATCTTAGTTATGTCTGCTTAGATTTAAGTACAGTGGTACCTCTGGTTACGTACTTAATTCGTTCCGGAGGTCTGTCCTTAAACTGAAACTGTTCTTAACCTGAAGCTCGACTTTAGCTAATGGGGCCTCCCGCTGCTGCCGTGCCTCCGCTGCGTGATTTCTGTTCTCATCCTGAAGCAAAGTTCTTAACCCGAGGTACTATTTCTGGGTTATCGGAGTCTGTAACCTGAAGCGTATGTAACCCGAGGTACCACTGTAAATCCCATTCATTCAGTGGGGCTGAATCCCCACAGAATGTATATAGCAGGAGTTCCCAAACCAGTTTGCGAGCTTCATTCGGGTGCTCTGTGGTGTGTCTGTAAACATGCACTTAAAAATCATATAGCATCTAGGACATCATTGCCACAATATGTAGCACAGATAACATCAGACACAATAAGACTATTCATTTATGTTTTGGTCAACGGCGGGGGGGGGGGGGGAGAATCAACAAAGATGTGTGTATATATTCCTCAAAAAAGCCATTACACAATTTTTAGTTGAAAAGAACGATTAAAGGAAAACTGGAATGGGTGGTCATATGGAAAAGAATCTAGTCCTCAGTCAATATGAACAAAGAGAAAAAGGAAAATGTGATACCTAAGGTGAGGGTCCTAACCAACCAGCCAGCTCCTTGCACACTTCAGGCCTAGTCTGCCTATATGAGGTTTCACTTGTATGTTTTGTCAGTCTTCCTTAACAAGGCCTCTTGGAGTTGCCCAAGGACCCCTACAATGTTTGCTGGACTTGCAACTTGACATCGCCTGCTTCCCCTTCAAGCCCTATGCCCTCATAGACCTGGGCAGGGTCATAGCCAAGCATAGTTAGGGTTTTTAAACCAGCTGAAATAACCGTAAATGACCTCAATCCAGAAAATCTAGCAAAGGCCCAAGTAAATACTTTAGAAATCCATGTCAGCTAGACATGACTAAGCCCCAATCTATTGTTTTCAATGGGACACAAGGCTGTTGATGGGGGTGGTGGTTCCCGTCAGGGCAAAAAAACAGCTTCAGGGTGGGTGTTATTTACTTTGGGGCAACACCTTTTACCATGCCATTGTCCTGATACAGCTGCCTTCTCTCCCTCCTTCTTTGCCTCATTCTCTTTTTTCTAACCTATCTGTTGTTTTAATTTGGTAAAAGGAAAAAAGATATGTGGTTAAAATAAAAAGGAGAAGCCTGGATTCCTAGATTCAGGTTTGGAGCAAGTGTTCTTTGGTGAGGGAACCCCAGCAGAGATTTAAAATTACAAAATATGCAGCAAAGCGGAGCACTGAACTATAGGCTGTTTGACCTTTAAAATACAGTACCCCCTTCTAAGTTTCTTCCAAAGTTCCACACTTCCCTTAGCATAGAAAAAGACCATATTTGGTAACTTAAAAATAGTTTACTTACAAGCTCTTCAAAGGACAGATTCATGTGCTTTTTCCACATTGCTGCAAGAAAAGACAGGCAGTATAACTTAGGTTTCAAAATGGTAAATGTTTCTAAATTATTTGTATAGAAACACAAAGATGGCTTGCTTAAGCCATGCAGTCTAAGCTTGGAGCATCCAGCTTAGGTCTCCTTACTGGTAGGGTTCACAGGGTGGAATGGGAGAACAAAGAGTTTGTTAATCCTTACTCCCAAGGTGAGGGGAATCTGTCTGCATCCTGAATTGATGTTCTACCAATGAGTTATAGCTTTCCCCCAAGGATGAACAAAATGCTTAGAGGGGAAGAGCATATGATAATGTTCATGTTTTCAATGTTCCTAGGACCGTTTCTTTGGACTGAACTTTCAGGGAAGGCAATTATTTAATTTTACAGCTAGCACCAAACATATAAGCTATGGAAAGACATGTTTATTGCATCTCCGAACATTGGATTATTGTTTTGTTTCAATGCTTCTTGACACAAAAATGACAATAAATTTTATCTTCAAAGTTTGCCCTATAGTGCCCTCAAAGTTATAGCATTAGTTGAATACCAGCCAAGATGTTCGGAGAAGCAGTAATTCACGGAATCAGCACATTTAAATTATTAATGGAACACGTGAGCTGGAAAGATCTGCAAATAAACTGTTACTCTGAGAATCAAATGAATCGCTCACAACTATGAAGGAACAAGAGGGTTGAAAAATACACAATATGTCAAAGTACCAGGAGCAAAGGGACTTGGGGATTCAGGTCAGGTCACCGAGTTCAACTACAAACCATTCTTTGTCTTTTATTCTGAGTATGATTCCTGGTAGGGTCCTTAACATTTCAACAATAACACCATCTCTCTCTCTCTCTCTCTCTCTCTCTCTCTCTCTCTCACACACACACACACACACACACACACACACACACCCTTGTAAGACCATCTTTAGTAATCTATGAATTCTGGTAATGCCTTTAAATGGAAGTGACATTCCAAGGCAAGTTATTTACTGTCCAATTACAACACAGTTGTAATGTTCACAGTGTCATAGACAAAATTAAAGGAATGAGAATTTAAAATGGGGTGGGGTAGGGGGACCTGTAGCCGTCCCAATGTTGCTGCTCCTATCATTCCTGACCATTGGCCATTCTGGCTGGAAAAATAATTGGAGTTGGAGTCCAGCAACATCTGGAGAGCCACAGGTTATCCACCCCGGGTTTAGAATAATATCACAGCACCATTATATGCTGTTTATTCAGAGACACATCCCACTGGGTTCAGTGGACTTAAACCAGACTACAGTATGTGTATCTAGGATTGCAGCTTTTCCTTCTGCTTTTCCATCATAAAGTTATGAACTATGGCCCTCCCTCCAGTTCTGCTTCTAGTTCACTTACTGGCATAGGCTTTGACATGAGTCAAACTTTCAGAAAAGGTACAATGGGAAAGTCCTAATAGGATCACCGCTCCAGCAAGTGTGTTTGGATACGCCCAACATCAAAGCAGCAGCATGTTGTGACCATACATATGCTTTCTCTGTAAATCTGTATCAGCCCTCAAATCACAGGTGTCTCAAGGCTTCTTTACATGCAAGATTACCGTATTTTTCGCCCCATAGGGTGCACCGGGCCATAGGGCGCACCTAGGGTTTTTTTTGGGGGGGGGGAATAAAGAAAAAAAATTTATTTCCCCCCCAGGCCCCAGCTTCCCCAGCCCCCAGAACAGGCTGCTCTCCACAAGCCGTGGGAGGGCTCCCCCGGCGTGCGCAGAGCTACCCGAAGCCCGTGCGCGACTACTCAGCGCTCCCCGGCTTTGGGATAGAGGCAGCTCTGCTCAAGCCGTGGGAGGGCTCCCGCGGCTTGCGCAGAGGTACCCGAAGCCTGGGCGCAACTACTCAGTGCGCGCCGGCTTTGGGATAGAGGCAGCTCTGCGCAAGCCGTGGGAGGGCTCCCGCGGCTTGCACAGAGCTACCCGAAGCCCTGGCGCGACTGCTCAGCGCACCCAGGCTTCGGGATGCAGGCAGCTCTCCGCAAGCCGTGGGAGCCCAGCGGGAACTCCGGCGGGCTCCCAAGGCTTGCAGATAGCTTCCTGAAGCCTGGAGAGTGAGAGGGGTCGGTGCGCACCGACCCCTCTCGCTCTCCAGGCTTCAGCGAAAGCCTGCATTCGCCCCATAGGACGCACACACATTTCCCCTTCATTTTTGGAGGGGGAAAAGTGCGTCCTATAGGGTGAAAAATATGGTATTTCCTTCACGCATATCGTTCCCACAAAAGAAATAGCATAAATCCTGCATGTAGATCAGGCATGTCCAAATCTAGCCCTCTTTGGAAAAAGTTTGGACACCACTGATGTAGATGATCTGAGCTAACACAGATACATAAGGGCCCTCTAGTGGTACAAAACCTGAGAGAGGAAGCTCCAGTTTAAACAATGATAGCAGGAACATTTAGAGCACTGGGGCAAAGACTGAACATTAGTTCTCCATACACATACATACCATTTCTGCTGCTGTTGGAGCCTTTAGGAACTGCACCAGAATATGTGATAAAGTGGGTGAGCATGTGAAAAGTTATCTGCTGCAGGATCTGTTCTGCCCTAGGGAAAATGAAAGCCCCTAGTTTCCACAGTGGGCGAGTATATTTCTGCAGCCTCTCTCTCTCTCTCTCTCTCTCTCTCTCTCTCTCTCTCTCTCTCACACACACACACACACACACACACACACACCAAAGCAGCAGAAACATCCAGAGTTGGCCCTGCTATTAAGCTGAATGAGGCAGCTGCCTCAGGCGGCAAATGTGGCAAGGTAGGGGATGTGTACAGTTCGTGCCACATGACCACCTAAGCTAGCCCACTGCCCTCAAGAGCTATGTAAAATGCTGTCCCATTACCAGTTTTGAAGTAAAATTCAACAGCAGTCTGGTTGGCTTTTCTACATGGACTGTAGAAGGAACTACCATCTTTGCCTCAGGCAGCAAAATGCCTTGGGCTGGTCCTGTGGGGCACAGGGGTAGAAACTGAACATCAGCACACATACACTCTTTCTGTTGGAGTACTTGTGCTAGAACAGTGGGGCATGAATCATATGCTGTGTGGTTTGCTGGAGCTGTCCCCCTGACACTGGTGCCACCAATACTTGGATGGGCCTGGGATAGGGCAAGGCAACAGCAAGGTTAGTGCCACATGGGTTCACCAACAGGAGTGTCGCCAGGCAATCTGGTGCATTTGCTGGTGCATCCACACAGCCCCAACCTCACCACCAGCCTGGCTATATGCTACCAGACACCCCACTATAACTGTGATAAATCTGGTTGCTATTTCCTGTACTTAGCACTCTTATGACTTGGCTGCCAGTAAATATTTATTAATATTCATACCTGACTGCACTTTTCTTTTCTGACTGGGGCTTATGCATTTAGAAGGGGATTTGTTTCCACAATACACTGCATTGAGGATAAAATAAAGGAGCTGCAATAGTATATGTGATATTTTATTGTGTAAATCCTTAGCTTCTAGTATCAATCATATCAGCTTTAAATTAAAAAGTTCCAGAGAACTGTTAAACCTGAAAATAAGCTTGCTTTGGAGGGAAAGGTAATCTTTGATCGCTCCAGTGTTCCCTCTGACATTCTGCATTTAATTTAGTGCGGATAAATGAAATTTTTGCCGAGATGCATATTTCAACAGCACGATTTTTCCTGAATTTTTAGGGCAAATTATTTTGTGATAAAGTGTTTGCAGGAAGCTACATATCACTGTGAAGGAGATCCCGATATGGTCAGGATTTATTATTAAAAGGCTACTATGAGACCTTTTAAAGATGCTGAAAGGGCTGGAGGCAGAATGATGCCCCCCTTGCTTTCTGTTCTCAGTTAAAAGTTTGTTTGCCAATACTGAAATAACCCCTCAAAGCATGAGGCCTGGGGCAATGGCACCCATTGCTTTGCGAAATCCATCACTTTTGCTGAATGTATGCTGTTCTGTTCCATTTGGAACGGTTTTGTGTGTTTCGTAATTCTGTAACCTGCCCTGGAATCTTGTGGTGAACGGTGGGTAAAAAAAAATACTACAAATAAATAATACTTAAATATAACTGAAATTTATTATCTAGAAGTCTGACAGATTATAGCAAGCAAGAATAGTGATGAATGATATACTCTAAGACAAATGCCAACAGGATTCTCTATGAAAGCAAATTACGTATTTTCAAGTTCGTTTTCAAGATCAGGAGCGTCAATGTCAGAAGAGGAGGGAATAGACAGCCTTCTTTAAATCTTCATTTGGTCTATATTGCTGGATATCTGCAAAACCATCTCGCAGAGACAATGCAGAAGTCAGAAAAACTCACGGTCTGTGCAAAAGGCATGCTGCCTAATCTCGAGATACCAGATGTGCTTTCAATTCATCAAAACCATGGCAAATTGACTCTCTGACAAAACAACAAGTGCAGATGTGTTCTTAATCGCCCAAGACTGGCTTGTCTTCAATCATCCAGCATGGATTCTGCATGGATTCCACACTAACTTTATCTCTTCAGCAAAGACAGCAGCAGGGCATTTTTCATAGGTTCAGAGTGTGTAGCTTGGGATTTGTTTACGTTCCAGTTCCTTTGATCTTCCAGCTGCTCCCTGTTCCTTTACTGAATCTCCACAAATTTTCTTTACATACCTGTTTTCACTGTGGAGACTTACTGGCATGAGAAATTTCTCTGCGTGGATCTCTCTCACAGAACACATTGAGCCTGTACGTTGGAACAAACAGCATCAATCAGCTGTGTGGTCCAAGTTTTAACAATTTTCTTTCTCTGTTGTATACTTCCTTTTACAAAATAAGTTTTTTTACAGTTAGGGCTGTTTTTTAAATAATAATAATAATAATAATAATAATAATAATAATAATATATTTGTATCCCGCCCTCCCCAGCCGAGGCCGGGCTCAGAGTAGCTAACATCATAAAAACACCACAATATGCATAAAAACAGACATCAATTAATTAAAATAAATCTTAAAATTCATTCAGACAAGTTAAAATCTGGGCAGGTGGCAATTATCAGGTTGGAAATGAGAGTGGTTAATACTTGCCAGGACCAACTGTTTCCACTGATCATACAAGGACCTGTTGGGGGGCCTCCTTCTGGCTTTGTTTTTATACAAAAGAAAGTACAGTGGTGCCCCGCAAGACGAATGCCTCGCAAGACAAAAAACTCGCTAGACGAAAGGTTTTTCCGTTCGCGATTTGCCTCGCAAGACGAATTTCCCCTATGGGCTTGCTTCGCAAGACGAAAATGTCTCGCGACTTTTTTTCTTTGACTAAAAACAAAGACATGTTTTGTTTATAAAGTTAATTTATTTTCCCTTAAATTTTTGAACTGCTCTTTACAGTATGTGTGACTTTAAAGAGCAGTTAATAAACTGTTGTTGTACCAAATTTGGCTTTGTTTGGACTTTTTTTGACCATAGGAACGCATTAATTGATTTTCAATGCATTCCTATGGGATTTCGTGCTTCGCAAGACGAAAAATTCGCTAGACGACAAAAATTGCGGAACGAATTAATTTCGTCTTGCGGGGCACCACTGTAAGTCAAACTGCATCCTGTCCAAAGGCCTGGCGGAACAGCTCTGTCTTACAGCTCCTGAGGAAAGATGTCAAATCCCTCAGGGCCCTGGTCTCTTGTGGGAGAGCGTTCCACCAGGCCGGGACCACAACCGAAAAGGCCCTGGCTCTAGTCGAGGCCAGTCTAATTTCCCTGGGGCCCTAAAAATAACAGCACTGACAAAGGACACGTTGAGGACTAGCAAGATGTTGACAAGGGTGCACTGGGGGGAAGGGGACTGAAGTCTGACTCAGGAGAGGGGATAAGTGGTTTGTGGGGACCTGTACCAGCCAGGAGGCTAGAATCAGAGGTATGGGAAGCTTCAGACCTGATGGAAGAGGCACACCAGGCAAATGAAGGGCCGAGTGCTTCCTCACCCTCTCCTGAACCACTATCTTCCAGAACCAGGAGAGAATTGAAGAGGGTGGAGCAGAGGCAGTTTCCACATGGGCATTGTCTTAGGCTGAGTGCATGCAGGCCTTTGGGGGAAGATACATAAACTCGTGGAGGGGAAGTGGTCCCCTGTTGCTGCAACTGCCCCATAATTGAATACCTGGGAATACCTGCCTAGACGCTACACAGGTGTAAGTATTCAGAACTACAGAAGTGGCTGTAAATGTTATCTTTGACAATTAAGACTACAGTACAACTCCCATCAGTCCCAGCCAGGAAAGTTTTGTTTTTTGTTTTGTTTTTACAGTAACTGGGCAAGTTTCCTGGTTAGGGAGATTGGATGTCCAGAATGGTCAAGAGAATATTTGCTTGCAGCCAAACTAAGTATGCAGAGATTTTTGAAATGCAATTTGGTTCAGAAATAGAGGAGTGATAGAGAAGTATTACCCCCCCCCCCCCGCTGTGATTCGGAGGAAAGATGGGGTAGAAAATTTTCTGTGGAAAACATTCCATTTTCAGATATAAATCACCCTAATTAGCATAGGACAAGTTTCCAGAAAAGTTAGCAATTCAAAATTTTCAAGAAAACTGCCACCACTGAGGCATCACTTCTTCCAACTCTTCATCCAGGACTTGTCCAAAGTGCCAGCACAGCAAGCGCTTTCAGCTAACAAATTTACTTCTTCCATCTACTGGAAGCTCTAGAAATGCAAACTTTATGAAATGTGTCAGCAGTGAATTCCATGATGGCAAAAACAAAATAGTTAGAGGGCTCTTTATATAGCTATAGCTATGGCAATTCCAGCTGGTGGCAGATGTCCTTGTCTCATGACTCTTCCAAGTCGGCTTTTTTAAAAAAATATTATTTTTAAGGAACATATGGTGCACACCACAAAATAAATGTGTGGGGGTTTTTTTTCCTAGGGGGAGGTGAAAGCCTCCAGTGGCTTGATTATTACAAAGACTACCAAAAAATAAGTTTTACCTTTGTTAGAGGGGGGCAACCTTGTGCAAACCTTTGTTAGGCTCGAAGCTGTGTTTTGTGTTGTCTCCTTCCATCACCTCAGAAACAAACATGAATAATTAGCATACTTAAAAGAGAGACCATATGCCCAGTATTCCTGCTCTTGGCTTTCAGCTTCATAGCTCCAGCTCTTAACGTTGTTCAGTCCTCTGAGGCACTAGCAATTGGATATAATCCCCTTCTGTGTGTTCCTTGTTGCCGCAAATATCTCCGCTCCCTATAGAACCTTCACAGTTCATTTCCTTCTGGCAAAAGCGGCTCACATTTATTGCTTCTCTAGCTCTGTAGTCCTTATTTAGGAACAGAGGAAAAGAAGAAACTGCCAATCCTGGGAACATCTGCATGTAAAGCAGATGCCCTACCACTGAACTATGGTCTTTCCTCAAAATTACAGGAAGCCTTAAATAAAAGACTTATGTGCCGCTTTTGAGAATAAGCTCTTTCAAAATGGCATGCCATAAAACACTTAAACACAGCTCTGTTTGTACTTCCCAGTTTAGTGTGCCCTTGGTGGCGCACTTAGGTTTGTCTGATGTTTGAAATGGTCCCAGAGCAGCAGTCTAAGAGCTGTAACGAAGTAGTATTAGTCTATGACTATCCAATGCCTACAATAGCCCTGTGGTTACCCTTCCATGCAGAGGGCACGAAAAGTGGGCAGTCATGTGCTCCCTAACAGCTCAACATAAAAGGTTGCAATGACCTAGGAGTAAGAAGCTTACTTCTGAATTAAGAATGAATAGATTTGTGCTGGGTTCTGCTGTAACAACACACTTTGTTTTAATGTCTGACCCGCCCCCAAGCCAGCACAGAAATTGTGGTTTGATGGGAACAAAATAGGAACAGAAACCACAGCTTGAAGCTGTTTTACATAACACTGTACCAAATGAGGTTTACCATTTTGTCTGAACTCACAGGCCTCTGACAATCCAGATAGGTCCTTTGTACCATGGAGATGGGAGTCAACTTACGAAGCAAAGCGCTGGGCAGATAGAAAACAAAGATATACGACTCCAAACCATAGCTTTCCTGTTGTATGCCTGTAACTTATATTAGTACAGTGATACCTTGGGTTACATACACTTCAGGTTACATACGCTTCAGGTTACAGACTCCGCTAATCCAGAAATATTACCTCGGGTTAAGAACTTTGCTTCAGGATGAGAACAGAAATCGTGCAGCAGCGGCACAACGGCAGCAGGAGGCCCCATTAGCTAAAGTGGTGCTTCAGGTTAAGAACAGTTTCAGGTTAAGAACAGACCTCCAGAACGAATTAAGTTCTTAACCCGAGGTACCACTGTACAAACCATGGGTTTAGGGTACAGCTCAACCTATCCAAGGAACTTTCTACACATAAATTGTCTTCGAAGAAACTGAAATACAAGTTGTTGTCTTTTTTAAAAAAAAACATTGTGAATACATAAATGTATTTAAAATACCAATACACATTGCTTTGCGGTTCCTATAATTATCACACAACAATCACTAAGTCAACATTTACGTCACTCAAGAATTTGACTCGCCATCTCCTTTGAAGTCCTCTAAATGTAGAATCCATGTTTTACAGATTAAGTTTAAAAAAAATAATCACATGACAAATTTCTCATAAGCAAGCAACTCCCCTGCAGAGAAAGAAAACTATGTACATTTTTTTCTAAGGAAAAAACAGTATGAGGACCTCTCTAAGGATTCCAGGGGAGAAGAGTGACTAAGATAAGCTCACTATGATTTGTCTGATGCATCCTGTTTCAAACAAACTTCTGTTTCTTCAAGGATACAATATGAGTTCTAATCACCCACAGGAATATAATTGCTTAGAATTTATAGTCAAAGGGGTTGTTTAAAAAAAGCTTAATAGATTATTTTTTACCACTAAAGGCCAACACATATTATTCCTGACTGTTTTTGCAGCATGGTGCATACTTCATACATACCAGTAATTAGTAGCAGTAAATTGTAGGGTGAATTATTCCCCAAAGACTTCCATCCTTTCATCTTGTGGATGTTTTAACCACAAGAGAGCTTGCCCTTTCTAGCTGTCAATTAGTCATATATATATTTTCCACTTGATAGCTATTGCCACCATTTATCATCTTCATTTTAACTTCCATAGTAACTGTCAAAAGAAGTTCTGGGTTCAACTGAAATTCAAATTCTTCATGGAAATTTCAGTTAATGGGTGGGCTGAATGTAAAGTTGTTGTTTTTTAAATTATTTAATTAAATCATGCTCCTCCCTTATAAATTATGTTCCCCCCAAAGACTCTTTTTATCGTCCCATTGATTTATTATTTTAATTCACTCTAAATACCAAAAAGAAAATAGCTGCTATTCTGCCTACCATGTTTCAGTTTCATTTTTGTTCCATATAAAAATTTACAGTTCCTTAAGTGGCCATCAAAGGCAAGGGGGGGTGAGGGGGTGGAATTACATAGAAAAGCAACATTCATTTTAAGTTTAACCTGAGCCAAGAAATACATAGGCAACTCAATACAATGCTCCGTTTAAAAGAGCAGGAAAGAAGCACAATAATTAGTAAAACATATATTCAGCAAAATTAAGTAGTAATGCTTCATTGCTACTGCATCATTTCAGCTATCAGGTTAGAAGGCTCAATGTTTAAATAAATCAATGTAGAAATGTAGCATATCAGGGAGCATATGTAAAGGTATTCCTAGATTTGAAGTGCATCCATTCACCAGATCCTATTAAAACCAACACTTTTGAAAATTTAGAATAGCCACAAATAGTTATTAATTCAAAAAAAGTACTGCAAGGCTAAATTATTTTTAACCTCAATACCATTTATTTATTTCTTCCGTAAGTTTTGCTTTCTGTTTCTTTGGTCACATAAGGCAATAAAAAAATAAAAAAAAATATTTATTATGTACATTGTACAGGCAGCAACCATTTTGCACCTGGGTGCAATTTCTGGCCCCTAAACGGGTTGGTGGAGCATGCATAAGTCCATTTGCCTCCATTACCCCCCCACACCCCCATTTGCCCTCTTCTGGGTCCCAAAAGACCCATGCATTGGTGGTCGCACATCAATTAGAGCCGTGCAAAATTGTTGCTGCCTGTAACTTTTCCAATTTTGCTTCATATCGTTGTTTACTTAACGCAAGAATTCCAATCCCATGGATTTGAAAGTTATAGCCTAGCTTTCCCAGCTCATCAATACGGTTACTTATAGTTTTGATGCTTTTGTCCAGAACTAGAGGACTTTTCAGTATTAGATTAATGTTAATATTTGCCTGCAAGAGGCAATCTATTTTATCATTCAGGTTCTGTGGAGAAAGGTATAGAATGCGAAGGTGCTTAAGGACAAACATATCTGCCTCTATTTCAGTGCACCCATGAGACAACAGTTTCTCTTTCACGTTTGCAAGTGTCTTTTTTAGGTATTCATTAGAGAGATCCAGAACATCACCTCCTTGCCCATGCAACAGCGTTAGAAATTCCTTATTGCTCAGACTTAAAGATGACTGCAGAAACTGAACGTTTGCTTTCACTTGCTTGCTGCTCCGTAAGAGGATAAAGACATTTTTAGAAATTATCTGTTTTACAAAGTCATCTGGCTTTTCTCCACCTAGATCTAAATAGATGTCATTCAAGAGGCTTATCATTTGTTTATTGAGCTCTATACTGTTAGAAAACACCCTTGGAACTCTGGTCAGCATGTTGCCAAGATCCTTAGAAGTCAGCCCAATAGAACAAAATAAGGTAATGTTCTTCTGCATGTTTTCATTATTCCCAGAACGGAAAAAGGATTCAGGGGAACGTTTCAGGATTGTTACAATTTCCATGTCGGTCATCAAAATGCTTCGCCAAATTTCCCAGCGTTCTTTCAGAGATTGGTGTGAGCGAGTGATGGCACGTGGATAACGTGAGATTATACTGGCAATGGCTTCTCTGTTAGCCCCTTTTCCTTGCAGAAAAATCTTCAGGCCATCTTCATTGGTGATCTGCCTCTTGAGAACACCAGGCTGTCGTTTTCTTACCATTTTGACATCCACGCCCATACCAGCCAGATTTTTCACTAAAATATTGTTCTCCTTGTCCAATTCATCACTGGAGCTATCAATCTTAAGGCAAAGAAACCTAGCGGAATCCCCTCTGAATATAATGTCTGTAGACAACTTGATAAGCCAAGGTAAATTCATGTTGAAAAGCAGTTTATTTTTCATGTTCACCAGCCCTCTCATTGCGATGCTAACCAGGTACTGCAAATCTCTGAATAAAATTGTACTTCCAGTCAGTTCAGGATCTTTAAGTAAGAGACAAGGAGAGAGAATTATAATAAACTGTAAGGCAGCATTCATGAACAACCTGTTCATAACTTAATTTGTTTAACACATTTTAAAAGATTCGTATTCATTGTGAGAATGAATTAAATGTTAGCAATCCCTTCCTAGATGGGTTATTATTATTTGTGTGGAGTGCCTATTGTATGAGTTAGAGTCTTTCTCATATTAAGCGTTATATAAATATATGAAATATCAACAACTTCAGAATGATTATACCTGTCTTGGCGATAAATACTAGCCACACAATTATTATTTTTTACTAGCCTTCTAGTATTTGAGCAAAGGTAGTGGAGGTTTATTTTAAAAATAAATAAATAATGAAATAAACAGCAAATTACATTCAGAGAATTACAAACAGAGAATTACATTCTCATTGCAGAGGAACCAGACTAAGGGCACAGTCCTAACTCCATTACTAATGGGAATTCTTAGTAAAATGGTTCAGATTTAAGTGTATATAAAATTGCAGCCATAAAGTAATACAGTGGAACCTTTGTTCTCGAACTTAATCCACTCTGGGAAGAAGAAGAAGAGTTTGGATTTGATATCCCGCCTTTCACTACCCTTTAAGGAGTCTCAAAGCGGCTAACAATCTCCTTTTCCCTTCCTCCCCCACAACAAACACTCTGTGAGGTGAGTGGGGCTGAGAGACTTCAGAGAAGTGTGACTATCCCAAGGTCACCCAGCAGCTGCATGTGGAGGAGCGGAGACGCGAACCCAGTTCCCCAGATTACGAGTCCACTGCTCTTAACCACTACACCACACTGGGAGTCTATTCGACTCCTGGTGCAGCTTCCGATTGGCTGCAGGAGTTTCCTGCACTCAAGCAGAAGCCGTGTTGGACATTTGGCTTCCGAAAACGTTCGAAAATCTGAACACTTACTTCCAGGTTTTCAGTGTTCGGGAGCCAAAACGTACAAGTACCAAGGCATTCGAGAACCAAGGTACGAATGTATACAATATTAGTCGTGTTAAGAGTAAACCCACTGAAAACAATGGACATAAGTAACAAAGGGTCTATGGTGCACTCACACTAATGAGATACTTTTAATGAGAAGCAGAGACGACAAGCAGTTTCCTCTCTCTTTTGCATCCTCCCAAAATGTTCTGCTGTAGTTCACTGCAGATGCACAATTCACACCAGCAAAGAGGAGTCACAGAATTATACATGAGTACGTACCCCCACATTTGGATGCTGGGAAAGACTCTAGCCAACCAACCGTGCGGTGTCCTGACTGCTTCTCCCAATTGCATAGCACTCTCTGTTCATAATCAGGAGCTCACGTTGGGCTTCATTTTCACACAATACATGTGTGGCGTTTGCCTGTTCTTTTGGAAATGTCTGTACAGGGGGAGAGAAAGAGTTAATACGTAGACCAATAGAAAAGCCAGAGGCAGGGCCTACCTGTTTTTAAAAGGCTTAGCCAGAGGTTTTAGTCAGTTGGGAAAGCAGTTGGAAGACAGATGGAAATAGAGAGCGTTAGTGCAGTTGGTTCTTGTGTGAGGGGAGGTAGAAGAGACAGGATAAAATAAGACTAAGAGGGTAAAGGGTAACAGCATTTTGAATGCATTTAAAGTTTATTTGTGTTTGCAATAAACTACAATCTTCAATGTTAACTTGAGAACCCAACTGAGACTAAGTGATTTACCGGAGAGAACCTGGCTGTTGGCAGCGGATTAGTGGTGTACGGGTCAATAGTCCGTGAAACGACTGGGGGCTCCGTACGAATGCCACAACATGCTTGCTGGAAGGAGGGTAAAATAAATGATGTTGTAGGTGAGATTAAATGCATAGCCTTGATCCTCACTCAATAATATTAATTCTGTGGTGGTCATATCAGTAGACTGGTTTTTATAAAGTGTTATGCATTAAACTGAGTGGCTACCAGAAAGGAATGTTTTGTTGTGTTCTAAACTGTTGGCTTTGCATGCTTTTATATTATGATATCACATTATAAATGCACTAGGTTACCAGTTATCAATAAGTTTAATTAATACTACTACTAATTGACACTTTAAGTGCAAGACAAACAATATTCAGATACATTAAAATAAATTCCTTAAATTGGAGCTTAGTGGTAGAGCACTTGCTTTGGCACAAAAGGTCATGACTCCCTGCATGTGGAAACAGGGCTGCAAAAGATTGGCTGTGACTCTGGAGATGCTCTACTGAATAATGTACTGAGCTAAATGACCAATGGTCTGACTCTGTATGACAGCTATGTTCCTAAACCGCTTCCCCTGAGGAAAGGCATCATTCCCAAACACTGGATCTTCACCTCATTTACAGCCAGGTTCTGTACATGAGCGTGGCCGGGGATGGGGGGTGAGGGACAGGGGAGGCAGCCCCCTAAATCAAGTAAATAAATAAAAACATTTAACTGACCAATTGCATCGCAGTTAACTCAGTTTCTCCCCACCCCAGCATAATACCTGCTCTCCCCTACGCCCATGGATCTGTATACGTTAACTCAGAAATAAAACCCGGCTTTATTTGGTTACAATTTACAGTACAAAGAGGCAACAGCAGATTTGGGGGCGCGGGGGTGAAGCCGCGGGCGTGCACAGACATCTTCCCTCCAAAAAACAGCTTGCCTCTCACCCCATTGCTGAGACCCTGGGGTGACCTGTAAGAAAGGCATTTTTTCCATAAACAAACGGGGAAATGGGGGTTTCACTTTTGAGTAGACATGAATGTGCAGGACTGCGCTGTCGCGGCGAAATCGGAAACAGGAAAACAAGCCTGAGCCCTAGGTTTGCTTAATGAAATATCAGCTCCCTCGAAATCAACAGCATTTTAATTTACGGCACGGATGGGAGTTTTAGTTTCCTTCAAAAATCTAGCATGAAATACACATTGCCCCTGAAGCGAACCTCCTTTTCTCTTCTTCCCCTCTGCCACCGCCTTCCCTATTTACTAGCCTCAGCTTTGCTAGCCTTGAGCCGCTAAAATCCTGCTTCCCAAAATTTAATCTTCGCGTTCTATGTCTGAGAAACTTTTAAAGGCGTTACAGACAACGCACAAGCGTGGGTTGCAGATACTAGCGTGTTGCTTACCGCCGGCATTTGTGCGCTTCCTTCCTTGGGGAGGCGTGGAAAGTTGCAAACGAAAAAAGCAGAAAGCGGAAAAAGAGCAGGCGCGTGCAGGAGAGGAAAAGCGCGATGGGTGTTTTACTTTTTTAGTGCTGCCATCTAGCAGAGAGGCCTCGACCTGCCTTCCTTTTGCCGAAAAAGCGAACTGCCAGGAGATGGCGGTATTAGATCAGATTCACACGTTCTTTGTTTCACGGTGTTCTCACGTTGCCGCAGGAAAAAGTACAGTACAGGTACTGTAGTGACAAATTAACGCGTTCCTTTCTAATTTGTCATTAGAATCTGTTGATAATCTCGGCCTTCTGAGGTACTGCTTTGGGGCAAAGGAGCTGCTGCTGCTTTTTTAATTTGTCTGTTGGTTGATTGATTGATTGATTGATTGATAGATTGATCTGTTCTATGCAATGGAATGTGTATTGGTCTCCCCAGGCCCACACAGCAGCTTGTTTTAAAATAGGAGATGTTTGGCTATTGCAGGGAAGAGGCGGGCATGCTGGCGTCACGTAGCCATTACACTGCCTCAATTCAGTGAGTTTTAAAATTCAGCAAGTCAGTCTCATTATGATGTGTGTACGTTTCTGCGTTTCCATGCGCTGCTCTGGTTCACCAGAAGCGGCTTCGTCATGCTGGCCACTTGACCCGGAAGCTGTACGCCGGCTCCCTCGGCCAATAAAGCGAGATGAGCGCCGCAACCCCAGAGTCGTCTGTGACTGGACCTAACGGTCAGGGGTCCCTTTATCTTTATGTTTGGGTTCAGAAGCATCATTATCATTATCATTATTATATTTGTACCCTGCCCATCTGACTGGGTTGCCCCAGCCACTCTGGGTGGCTTCCAGCATATACAAAAACATAATAAAACATTAAAAACTTCCCTATACAGGGCTGCCTTTAGATGTATTTATTCTAAAGGTTGTCTACTTACTCATCTCCTTGACATTTGATAGGAGGGTGTTCTGCAGGGTGGGCACCACAACCGAGAAGGCCCTCTGCCTGGTTCTCTGTAACTTCACTTCTCGCAGCGAGGGAACCACCAGAAGACTTCTTCAGAATGCCTTTGAATGCCAATTCCTGATGACAACAGCAGGAAAGTGCCTCTGTGCTCATGTCTAGTTTATGGGCTTCCCACTGTGGGAAAATTTGACTGGACAGAACTCAAGTCCAGCACTGTTGTTCTTATGTTCTTTAACTGTCTGCTGTATGTAGAGGAAGTTTTTGTACACAGCAGCATACAGTCAGTTGGGACCTGTAATCTGAAGTGGTTTGGTCACAAATTTACCACTGCGAGGTCAAAGACTGGAGAATTAAGCAGATAAGGAATAAAACAGATAAGGAAGTTTGGTATTGTCATGACTACCCACCAGATCTTTTCAGAAATTTATGTGGTAAGTTTTGAGCAGGACAGAATATTGTCTGTCCTGCTCAAGCAATTGGCGCCTTACCTCTCTCGCCCTGACCTAGCCACTGTGATCCACGCGACCGTCACCTCCAGACTGGATTATTGTAACTCACTCTACGTGGGGCTGCCCTTGAGACTGACCCAGAAACTCCAGCGGGTGCAGAATGCTGCAGCGAGACTCCTTACGGGGTCTTCGCTGCGAGATCACATTCACCCGGTGCTATACCAGCTGCACTGGCTCCCGCTGGAGTACAGGATCAGGTTTAAGGTGCTGGTTTTAACCTTTAAAGCCCTATATGGCCTAGGACCCTCGTACCTACGGGACCGCCTCTCCTGGTATGCCCCATAGAGAAACTTACGGTCTTCAAATAAAAACATCTTGAAGGTCCCAGGCCACAGAGAGGTTAGGCTGGCCTCAACTAGAGCCAGGGCTTTTTCGGCTGTGGCTCCGATCTGGTGGAACACTCTGTCACAAGAGACCAGGGCCCTGCAGGACTTGACATCTTTCCGCAGGGCCTACAAGACAGAGCTGTTCCACCAGGCCTTTGGCCAGGGCACAGCCTGACTCCCTCCCTCGGCAATCTTCGCAGAGCTCTGGCCCAATGGTTGCCAGTGGCTTGATTTGAATTAATTTTATAATGAATGATTTTAGAGTGTTGTTTGTGCTGTACTTGAGCCCGGCTTCGGCTGGGGAGGGCAGGATATAAATAAAATTTATTATTATTATTATTATTATTATTATTATTATGGAATCCAACAGAGAATGGGGGAAGGATTTGATTAGCATTCAGTCATTCTCGGGAACATTCTTGAAAGGAAGAAGCAGAACCACATCGCCTGGCTGTTACCCTGCAGTTACTGCTGTCAATTTGCCAACATGTGATAGTCCACAATATCAAATATAGATAAAAGATCTGATAGGATGAATAGCATACTGTGCTCCATATCAGTTTCTATGCATGGATTATTCATAAGGGTTACAGGCACATATTCACAATAGAATATTCAAATTTGAAGTGATAATTGCACGGGAGGTATCAAATAAACATCCTTAAAATACTACAGCATGTAATGAAGCATTGCTGTCTTGTCAAGACAATCAATAGTGTTTAGGATTTTTATTTATTTTTTCCCCTGTTGCATGACGCATTGCTCTTTTGCCACACTCCATATGAGGCTTTAGTTGTTCCTGATTAGCTACAAGAAATACAATCAACAGCAAGATGATCCAGACTAATATTTGGATTTTAGCCCTTTCCCATACTCACCCATCCCTGAAGCTTCAGCATGGCTAACAACTAGAAGCAGCTAATAATGCAACTGTTAGGATTTTAATCAATAAAAAAGGCAGCACTAAATAACCACAGTCATCCCTAGGCAAATAATTCTTACTCAGACATAAATATCACCTGCTTCTGTTTTCTTCGTAGAAGATATTCAGACTACTTTTTCGGACCTTTCGGATAATATTCAAGGATGAGGAGTAGACAGGGGGCAAGATATAGACTTGGGCACTTGGACCCTTAGATTTGTTTTTCTTAGTCATCATTTCCATGCTGCAAGATAAACAGCTGTGAAAGCTAAGGTTTAGCTTCAAAAGGGTCAAAGGGAAAAAGTAAAAAAATGTGACTGAGCTAATGCATAGCCCTTGCATGAGCCTAAGCTTCTCTATTGATCCAGGCCAAAATTCCAAACTACCTGCGATAACAGAGCCATATATATTACTGAATATCTTATGTTTAATGTTTTGTACATGATTGGAAATATATTAGCTAGGGAAGCAGGGTCAGCTAATTAATTACCAACTGCAGCCTTTCTTCAAGTGTATATCGTCTTTGATATATTACACTTGCAAAATAAATAATTCATCTCACAAACTTTCTCAGTTGTAGGAAGCCTTAATCTTCTTTCCACTTAAAGTGCTGGTACCAGCTGAACAGCAAAACTACAGCATTATTGAATGTTTAATTAAAAGATAAGGCACAATCAAATATGTCCAAAAAAAGATATGTAGAGCTTACGATCTGTCAAACTATAAGCTGCACAACTCTAGGATCCAGGGCACAAAGGGACTTTTCTTCAGGGGGTATGTATTATTGCAATATTACAAGACACCTATGCTTCATGCTTTATTTATAAGTGATTATCTTGATCTCTTTACAACAGGAGAGTGATGTGATGATATGTTGGTTGCTTAGGAAACAAGACAGCGTGTGAATTGTGCATGAATGTATATAAACTTGTTTATATGTGGCTATAAATGTGAATATGAGTGCATGTAGCATACATACTTGTGAGTGTGCATTTATTTGTATGAATTTTTCAGTGAGTTTCTCATTTACTTGTCATCTGATACATATTGCAGCATCTTGTAAATAAAAGGTTCCTTAGAATAATACTAGTTTTGATTTACAGAGCAATATAAAATGTTCAATGACAAATAAATAACCAGAGGACGAGAGCAGTTTCCATTGTATAACATGAGCTGTCTAATATTCAGAGGTGTAATGTTTTAAAGGGCCTTCCCCAAACAATCATGTTATGTTTTTAATCTGAAAAGTGCATTCAGAAAGATAGTGCAATCAGAATACAGAGATAAAACCAAGTACTAACTATTCAAGACTGCAGTCTTGATTATTTTTTGTACTTTCTTCTCCATTTTCTACTTTATTTCTTCAAAGCACCCTTTTATGAGATTAAACATGAACAATTCTGTCTTGTTTCATTAAAATCTCAGTCTCCCCTCCTAGCCATTTAGTTCTCGTTCCCAATCTATAAAGTCTTTTTGTCCTCTTGCAGCAGAATCTGCAATATAATACTCTCGTCAAGCGTAGGAATAAATAGTGCTGAGGAACAGAACTGAAGGATATATTGGAAACTGAAGGCAACACTGGAAATTTGGTACAAACTAAAGAGTCATAGCGAATGACAGCATTGTAGCTGAATGGTGCATTCCATGATTTGCATGAACAAAACTGGAATGTATATGCCTTGATCAGTGAAAGACCAGTCCGTGAATGGTTATGAAGGGTGGCCAGTACAAAAGAGGAAAGGGCTCCTGTCTCTTTAATAGTTGAGTGGGAGAGGGAATTTCAGCTTGCCATGCCCTGTCCTCTTTTGCATCTAATAATACCTTGTGCTGCACCTTGCGATAGAAGAGGTGCATTGGGCCATCTTTTTTGGTTCTTCTAACAGAGAACCTAATACTGCTGTTGCATTTTCAAGATAATCCCTACAACTGTGACTAACAGGAAGGCAGTTATTTGTTTGCTTGATTAATTAGAGCCCCCAAGTCTCTGGATTTTAATCACAAGTCCAGATGAAAGGCTTATAAAAGTTCGTCAAAGGCTGCATGCATTCCGCGGGTTCCGTGT